GGTTTTCACTATGTAATCCTAGGCTGGCCTTAAACTGACACTCCTCTTCCTTCATGTTCCAAGTGCTGGGCTTACAAATGTGTACCATCATACTTGACCCTCATTTTAAAGCATGTAATTCAGTGGCATTAAATATACTCAAAGTATTTTGCAACTACTACCACCACTATCTAATTTCAGAACTATTTTATCACTGCAAATGGAAACTCTTTGCCCATTAGGCAGTCACTTCTCATTCATCCTCAAACTCTAGAAATAATGAATCTGCTTTCTCTCTCTGTGGATATGTCAACTCTGAGATAGTTTGTATAAACAGAATCATAAAATATGTGGCCTTTGAGTCTGGTTTCTTTCACTCAACATAACTTTTTCCAAAGTCTATTAATTTTCTAGTGTGCATCAGTACTTAATTTCTTATGACTAAGTAATATTCAGTTTTTGTTCCAATATCTGTTTTCAATTCATTTGGGCATATATCTACAAGTAGAACTGTGTAAGTATATAATTCCAATTTAGCACTCTATGTTTAAAGTAGCCATGCTTTTCTCAGAATTATCAAAGAAAACCTTAGAATATCATTCCCCAATAAATGAGTTCTATTTTCAACCAAAATGGTACATTTATAACCACCTAAAAAAAGAGAATGGAAGAAAGACAGCCTCTTCAGTAAATGGTGCTGGAAAATTGGTTAAACATCTGCAGAAAACTAAAGCTAGATCCTTCTCTATCACCCTGCACCAGAATCAACTCCAAATGGACATTACAGGAAAGAATAGGAGAAACTCTAGAGCTCCTTGGTACAGGCCAAAAGTTTCTTAATAAAGACCTAGAAACACAACAAATCAAGGAAAGGTTGGACAAATGGGACTGCATGAAACTGCAGAGCTTCTGCATGGCAAAGTACATAGCTAGCAATATCAATAGAAAGCCCACGGATTGGGAGATCTTCAGTAGCCATACAACAGACAAGGGTCTCACATCTAAAATATACTTAGAACTCAAAAATCCCCCAAAACCAAATCCTCAAAGAAACAATTGCCTGATAAATAAGTGGGCTAAAGACTTAAAGAGAAACTTCTTTTTTTTTTTTTTTTTTTGGGTCCAGTCGTGGGGCCTGAACTCTGGGCCTGGGTGCTGTCCCTCAGCTCTTCAGCTCAAGGCTAGCACTCTACCACTTGAGCCACAGCGCCACTTCTGGCCTTTTTCTTTTTGCTTATGTGGTGCTGAGGAATCGAACCCAGGGCCTCGAGCATGCAAGGCAAGCGCTCTACCACTGAGCCACCTTCCCAGCCCTTAAAGAGAAACTTCTCTGAAGAGTAAAAAAGGATGGCCAATAGACACATGAAGAAATGCTCAACTTCCCTAGCCATAAAAGAAATGCAAATCAAAACAACATTGAGATTCCACCTCACCCCAGTTAGAATGGCTATAATCAAGAAATCTAATAACAACAGGTGCTGGAGGGGATGTGGCCAAAAGGGAACCCTACTGCATTGTTGGTTGGAGTGTAAACTTGTTCAACCACTCTGGAAAGAAGTATGGCGACTCCTCAAAAGACTCCACTGTGACCCAGCAATCCCACTTTTAGGCATTTACCCAAATTATCACAAACAAGGCCATACTAAAGCCACCAGCACAACTATGTTTATTGCAGCATTATTTACTATAGCTAAGATATGGAACCAACCCAGATGCCCCTCAGTAGATGAATGGATCAAGAAATTGTGGTATGTATACACAATGGAATTCTATGCTTCCATCAGAAAGAATGACATTGCCCCATTTGTCAGGAAAAGGAAAGACTTGGGAAAAAGTTGTATTAAGTGAAGTAAGCCAGGCCCAAAGAAACATAGGTTCCATGGTCTCCCTTATTTGCAATAACTAGTATATGTCTAGGACAAGCAGAGAAGTTCAAAAGCTACGTACATATAACCATAAAAGATGATGCTAAGTGAAATGAACCCCAAGATAGGGACCTAAGAGATTTTATCTTTCTTGCTTTAGTTTTTAATGTACTTATAATATACTATGTGATTTTTTTTTTGTTTCTTTTGTATGTTCTCCCTCCATGGTATAACCCCTGTTTTCACTGTATTTGATTCTGTGCCCTGCATCTTGTATATACATTTTTCTAATTTGGGGAGGGGAAGGGAAATAACAAAATGTTGAAATAAGGATACAGGTTGATCCATTGTAACAATGAGATGTACAATACACTGTGTTGAAAACAAACTTTACATTTACAACTTTGGGGGGGAGGGAGGGAGAACTTGGGGAGGTAGGGCGTAAAGGGGTGGTAGGGGAAAACAAAGGAGGGGGTAACAATGATAGATAGGAAATTTACTTATTACCTTACTCATGTAATTGTAACGCCTCTGTACAGTATCTTTACAATAAAAAATATATATTAAATTAGAAAAAGACCAACTCACAATTTTTTGGTGCTGGTCCTAGAGCTTGAATTCATTAGGGGCCTGTGCATCGTCCCTAACCTTCTTTGGCTGAAGGCGAGTGCTCTACCATTTGAGCTACAGCTCCTTTTCTGGGTTTTTTTGGTAGTTTAGTAGAAATGAGTCTCACAGATTTTCCTGCCTGGGTTGGCTTCAAACCACAATTCAGGTTGCAGTCTCCTGAGTAGCTAGGATTACAGGCATGAGCCAACAGTACTGGCTCCAACTCACATTTTTTGGAGTTTAAAATGTGACAAATTACTTTTGTGCTTAAATATTTTTTAATTGAAACAATGATAAATAGCTGAAAGGGAAAATCTTTTCTTCCTAGTATAGCCAGTCTAGCAACACCTAATTCACTTTCAAATGCGTATATCTAAACATACAAAAATATGTGTTTAGTTTCAACAAGAGAGTATTACTTAAAAGAAATATTTAGCCCCAAATAATACATCAAATACACAAAACTAAACAGAAGCAAAATAGGACCTTTGAGAAATTCAAGGTGGCAGCAAGTGTTCAAAGAGGAACAATCACACCTGAAAGAGTACTGACTCTTATGTCTTTACTTCTCATCCACTTAACAGAAAACTGATATATCTGAAGGACAGTTTCTGCTGTAGATAGTACTTGAATTGAGCTCAAGAAGACAACAGTGTCTTTTGTGCTTACCCATACCTATTTAACAGCTGCTGCAATCTCCCTTTCCCCTTCTCTTGAAACACACACACACACACACACACACACACACACACACACACACACACAATATACATCCACAGAAGAAACATACACATGCATAAGCCATGTGCCCAGACAGTATTTCTAATTCATTGGCTACCAGTAAGAGCCAATGTGTTTTATAACTTAGTCATACTTCAGATGCCAGGCTTCTGTCCTTATTGTCACCTACCCCACTCATATTATGAAGACACTGTCCCCTGAAATCTAGAAAGCAGAAATAAAATTCTAGCTAGAAAAAGGAAACAAAGGCCTTGAAGCAGTAAAAGAACCATCTAAACTATAATGTATATAAGTAGGGGACCTGATTTAAGATTATTTAAAAATAAAGTACTGGGGAATTTTCCCATAATTTTAGTAGATTTATTCTAAGAAAATCTGAGGATTGGGTGTGATCGCTCATGCTTAGAATCTCAGCACTCTGGAGGCTGAGGCAGGAAGATCATAAGGACAGTTTAGGCTATATAGCAATATCTCATCTGAGAGGAAGGGGAAAAGCCAAATAACAACAATATAACTTACCAAGGAAAACACAAATCGGGACATTCTAGTTCTGCAAATGATCTTATACATTCCATCTTTGCTAGAATCAACACTATGAATTTTTTTTCTTCCATTACAAAAAAGGTAAAATGTTATCATATTCTGATATGGCTCCAAACTCCCACCATAAAACCCAGAAGAGACTCTTTCATCCTAGTCAATAAAGGCAAGTTCTAACAGGGGTTTTTTAAATGAATATCAAGAACTTTACAAATATCTTGTTCTGTAAACAGAGAAAGTGTCTAAAGTCTCACATGGAATCAGGGCAAAGCCAAAAATAAATTTCAAGTCCAATTAACTGTGTAGATGGTGATCTAGCCACAAGGCAAAATGTCTCAGTTACCACTGGGGATGGCCCTTCTAAAACAAGCAGCAAAAAGAAAACATGTTATAGCATAATGATACAATAATGTCATTTAGGAATGGTGTAAGAGAAAATGAATCCCTTGTTTCATTCTCATATCCTTTATTTTCTTCTATTTTGCTTATGCAGTTTTTCTCTGCTGCTGCACTGAAAGGGACTCCATGGTGGGGATCAAACTCTTCCCACTTCTGTACATGAAGCACAAAGCATAGTCTACTGAGTAAGCATTCAGTAATTTGGGAATATGTGTACATATAAATTTTTCTAGATGTACACTCAATTCCATTCTCTTAATCACCAAAGCAAATAATGGTGTCAACCCTCAAATCTATTAGCAAGCTGATCCCACCACTATAGAAGAATAAAAATAAGATCAATATAATCTGGTATTTACAAAAGCAGAGAGATACTCTAGATATAGTTGTATGTTTAAGTACATAAACTAAGGTAGCCAAGAATAAATTCACATTATTTAATTATAAGTAACTAATACTTTGTCATCATGAGATCATTTCCCTGAGAGATATACAATCCTAAATAGCTCTTACTTCAAAAATGTATCCTCTGATTACCTAAAAAATTGGTGGCCATTAAACCAGAATGCACTGGAATGGAAATACAAAGAAAAATAAATTCCAGTCAGTCCTTCTTACTAATTATTAACATTTTTTATAAAGTGCTCAGGTGAGGTGGTAGGATAAAAAAATGAAGACCATATTCATTTAGGGATTAAAACAACACATGGCACTTTGCCATTTAAGAAATACTTTACTTGTATTCCATTATGCAATAGTGAGTTATATCTATGAGAATGAGCCAAAAGAATAATTTTCTGGACATAGTGTTTAACATCTACTCAGGAGTTACCTTCATTTTGCTTTCGTAATTTTCTATAGCCTTACCTCCCAGTCCAAATAATCACAGACATCTTCAAAGTTAGTGAGCAGAGACACTGAGCAGAAAAGCCGTGGCAGCTCATCCCTTGTCATTGGGGGGAAACGGCTATCTTTAAGGGCACTGTTGGGAACAAAGCAAATATTAAAGAAATCACTGGCTATGAAGTTCCAAATTTTATATTCAATCATTTGAAAAAGTAAGAGATTGAGATAAATCAGTCAAGTATCCAAAGTGTCAATAATCTTAAGATATACTCAAAAGCCAGAAGGACTTTAGAAGTTACCATTTTTTTTCATTCCATAGATAGTGAAAATGGATTGCGTACTGTGAACACTAAAATTGTAAAGAGTGAATAATCAATTATATTTCTTGCCCAGCAATTTCTTGATGTCTTTCCGTGTTACTTGTAGAATCTGAGAATGCTTTATTTTACATTTGAGAAGAATAGAAACCAGACTGAGGGGAACTTGTTAGAAGACTGAGGGAGGGGCAAAAGTACACGTAATCAAACTGTAAAATAAAACTTATACTAAGTTGGCCAGTTACCATAGAATGACAATGAGCTAAAAAAAATAAAAAATTTTTATCTTTCAAGTTATAAAATCAAAGAAAAAATCATGCAAATTATACACTAAAAATGCAAGGATTTCATGCCTCCTATAAAGGATAACTTATATATAACTCAAAATTTGTGAAACTACAGGAAATAGGGCTAATTGAAGATATGAAAGTATGATTAGAAACCATTAATCCCATCATTGGACTTTTGGTGAATCAGCTCTGATTGGATCCTTTAATCAAGTGCTTAGTGTAAGAACAAAAATGTTGGAAGGCCATGATTCTTTCTGAAACAGTAGAACACACATACACACACACACACACACATACACACACACACATATACTTCCTGATAAGGGAAAACAAACACACCTCTGATTGTCTCCTATATTACTGGCACTACGACCTAGGTTCAAATGTAGCAGCCAAATTTAGAAAAGGGTTTCACATATTAAGCTGTAAAAGTTACAAACTAAGATCCTAGAACTTGCTTTGCAGTATAATAAAGTTTCTCATTGATTAATTTCCTTTCTTTTTTTTCACTTTCCTTCCCTTCCTTCAGAATCTGAAACTCATCCACTGTGTTTGTGTTTTCAGTGCATTTTGGTGTTCACTCTATCCTGCTATATAAAAGAAAATTCTTTTAGGTAGATGTTTTTCCTATTCAAGGTTAACAAAGAAATCAGGAAACTGTGGTAACTTGTTCTCTGAAAACAGCATTTCACTATTGTATAATTTTTTTCTTTTTTTTTCTTTTTTATTGTTATTGTAAAGGTGATGTACAGAGGGGGTACAATTATGTAAGTCAGGTAGTGAGCATATTTCCTATGGAGTATCGTTACCTCCTCCTTTGTTTTTCCCCTACCATACCTCTCCTCCCCACCTCCCCAACTCCCCTCCCCACCAAGTTGTAAAGTTCGTTTTCAACATACTGTCTTGTACATCTCATTGTTAAAATGGGTCAACCTGTATCCTTATTTCAGCATTTTGTTATTTCCCTTCCCCTCCCCAAATTAGAAAAATGTATATACAAGATGCAGGGCACTGGCATCAAATACAGTGAAAAGAGGTTATACTGTGGGGGAAGAATATACAAGGACAAGCAGAAAAGGTCAAAACCTATGTACATACGACCATATAAGATGAGGTTAAGTGAAATGAACCCAAGATAGGGACACAAGTGTTTTTTTTTCCTTTCTTGCTATTGTTTTTAACATATTTATTGTTTTTAACATATTTAAAATGTACTATGTGCTTTTTTTGTTTCTCTTGTAAGTACATTTGTTTTTGAACAGTGTCACATTTTCCCTCGTTTTCTCCATTTTTCTTTCCCTCCCTCCCTCCCCCACTTATGGAATTAGTAAATTTGAGATTAAGAATGAAGGAACTCGAGCTGGGAATCACTGGCCTACAACCCTAGTTACTCAGGAGACTGACATCTGAAGATCACAGTTTGAAGCTTTCCCTGGCAGGAAAATTCAGTAAGACTCTTACTCCCAATTAACCAGCAAAAAAGCCAGAAGTAAGGCTGTGGTTCAAGTGGTAGAGCATCTGCCTTGGAAAGTTTAGGAAATGCACCTGGCCCTGAGTTTACACCCCAGTATAGGCACAAAATTAAAATAAATAAAATAAAAATAATGCAACTCAAGTTTTAAATTTGTATTTTGGTTATATTGGATATTTTGAACTCAAGGATGTGCACTTGTTAAGCTAGCATAATAATGCTGAACTATACTTCCCACCCTATCTTTCTAATTTAGATGATTAAATAGTCCATGGCTCAAACTCAATAGCTTATGTGACCACATACTACATATACATTCATATGTGTCTGTATATGTCCCCATTTGTTAAAATTAAATTCTAGAATCCTTGGATTTAAGAATCCATGTATGAAACAATAGCAAGAAAGAAAAAAAACTATTGTATAATTTAACACCATAAATTACCTATGGTTTAGCTTCTTTTATCTTCCTTAAAAATACTTTCAAATTCTCATTCAAACCCAAGAAAAAAATCATGTATATGTAAGTGTATGTATAATCACATCCTCTACATACATACAGATGAAGAAAAATTCTAAAACACCATCCAGAAGTATCACAGGCATAAAAAGTAAAAGACCAATCACATTTTTAGTTTTTCTGCTTAAAAAGAAATAAAAGAAAGGATAAATGCCTTAAATATTAGGATATTATAAAATTTGATTTTTGGTGTTATGGATTTTCACTGTGGCAAAATATGCACAAAACAACATTTTAACCAATTTGAAATACATACAACATTGTTGTACAACCAGCATTACCATCCCTGTTCAGAAATTTGCATATTCCCTAACTCCTTATTCTTCCCTCTTTTGGCCCCTGATATAAAATATAACTTAATACCCTTATCATTTCAGATAGTTGTAGTAATACACTCACTAAAGTTTTTATATACAACAGTCTTACAGAGATATAATTTACATAGTACAAAATACACTTTTAAAAGTATACAATTTAATGCTTTTTAGTATATTCACAGTTGTATAACCATCACCACTACTCAAAATTACATTTCATCACTTCAAAAAGAAATTCTATAGTCATTTATTTATTTATTCATTCATTCACTGTAAACTCTTTCCATTCTAAGGCTCCTGGCAACCACAAATCTCTTTTCCTTTATGGTTGGCCTATTCTGGGTACTTTGTGCAAGGAGCCTCATATACTGACATTGTGTTTTATGTCAGGTTTCTTTCACTTGGCATGAATCAGTACTTCATTCATTCTTTCTTTTTTATTGTGAAAATACTGTACAGAGGGGTTACAATTACATGGGCAAAATAATGAGTATATTTCTTATCAAGCATTGTAACCTCCTCCTTTGTTTCCCCTTCCCATCCCTTCCCATCCCCCCCCCCCCACCAAAGTTCAAAAGTTCGTTTTTCGACATAATGCCTTGTACATCTCATTGTTGCAATGGGTCCACCTGTATCCTATTTAAATGATTTGTTTTTTCCCTTCCCCTCAATTATACCAACAAATTATACCAACATCAAATACAGTGAAAGCAGGGGTTATACCGTGGGGGAGGGACATACAAAGCAACAAAGAAATAATCTTATAAATGTGTTAGAAACAATCGCATCAAAGAAAAATACATTTGAATACATATTCTTTCTACTGTACCTAATGATCTCCGATTGTATGAATACACCGTAGATGAATGGACTTTTGGGCTGTGTCCACTTTTAGGTATTCTGAATAATTTGTACATAACTTTTAATAAAACATGCTTCATTTTTTGGGTAGAAGATACTAGAGTGGAAATGGGTATACACAAAGGTAATTCTATCTTTTTGAGGATTATACAGCAATAGCTGTAATAATTCTGTACTGCTACCAGCAATGTATCAGGGTTCTAATTTCTCTCCATCTTGACCACTGTTTGTTATCATCTGCTTTTTTATTAGTAGTGCAAGGCCTCCTTTAATGAAAGTACATTTTGAATATAGCTCTAGCTTTTTCATTAAAAGAAAACATATGTTAAAGTCACATACATTACCTACTTCAGTGATACAAGTCAGCAATTTTGTGCTTTATGTTCAAAATAAACCAGTGAAAGGCCAATTTTTTTTTTGGTCGGTTGTGGGCCTTGAACTCTGGGCCTGAGCACTGTCCCTCAGCAAATCAGCTCAAGGCTGGCACTCTACCACCTGAGCTACAGTGCCACTTCCGGTTTTCTTGTGGTTTATTGATAAGAGTTCCACGGACTTTCCTGCCAGGGCTGGCTTTGAACCGTGATCCTCAGATCTCACTCTCCTGAGTAGCTAGGATTACAGGCGTGAGCCACAGCGCCTGGCTTGAAAGGCCAATTTTTATACCAGTGTAATTCAACTTATTTTAAAGCAATGACAATTTTAAGTAGCTAAAATGTAATAGGATCAAGTTAGCAAGTTTTGTTCATGATTTGGAACCTTGTTGTTCAATAATTCTAGGCTTTAGCAAATCTCATCAGAAAAAGAAGAGAACACACCCAAATAAATAAACTCAGAAATGAGAATGGAAACATCACCACACACACAATCAAGATTCGGAATATTATAAGGGAATATTTCTCAACACTTTATGCTAATAAGATTGAGAACTTGGCAGAAATGGACCTTTTCCTAACAAATATCAACATGCCGAAACTAAACCAAGATGAGTTAAACCATCTTAACAGGTCCATATCAAGCATTGAAATAGAAACAGCAATAAGAGACCTCCCATCCAAGAAAAGCCCAGGACCAGATGGATTTATAGAGGAATTCTACAAAGCCTTCAAAGCAGAGCTCACACCAATACTCCTTCAACTCTTCAATGAAATTGAAAGAGAAAGTTCACTAACGAACTCATTCTATGATGCCATCATAACCTTCATCCCAAAACAAGGCAGAGACTCATCAAAGAAAGAGAACTATAGACCCATTTCTTGGATGAACATTGATGCGAAACTTCTCAACAAAATTTTGGCCAATCGACTTCAACAATTCACCCACAAAATCATACACCACGATCAAAAAGGATTCATTTCACGGA